TCTGTTTGATAAATCCACTGGGTGCTGCATACAATTGCCATCAGCCAGGACTGACCAGAGCCTCTGGGCACACCAGCCCTGCCCATGTGGTAAGTCCTGCACTGGGGGAGGGCCTTCCCAGCCCCAGCCCCTTTCCCCGCCTACCTTGGCTGCACTCCCCTGGCCCCCAAGTCCCCCCCCCGCAGCATGCAGGGAGGCCAGAGTTAATGCAAAACTTTACAGAGCAGCCTGTACCCCTGCAGCTAGGTGGGCATGGGCCTCTTACCCCAAGGAAAGTGTCAATGCCTGCAGACATGTCCTCCTCAGCTGCAGTGGGTAGAGATGTGTAGCGCAGCCACAGGTAGTCCTCCAGGTGATGGCGGAGGTTGCAGGGCAGTGTGGGCTTGCCCGTTACCCCATCAAAGATCAGGGTCCCCTGCTGGATACACACCAAGCCCAGCAGCAGCAGCATGGTATACTAGGTTGGGCACCCCTCAGTCCATGCAAACAGCTCCTCACGCTGCCCATTTACTTGCCCAGATGTCAAGGGCCTATATTCATGGCTCTGACCTCCCCTATACCCTGCCCCATGCCTCACAGATGGCATCCATGGCCTAACACCCAGCCTCAGCTTGTTTGGTCTAACACCCGGCCTATAAGCCCATGCCCTAGCACTGGGACCTGCACTCCAATGACTCACATTGGGACTCTCACTCCCGTGCCCTCACATTGGAGCTTGCAATCTCTGCAATTGCCATCAGCCAGGACTGACCAGAGCCTCTGGGCACACCAGCCCTGCCCATGTGGTAAGTCCTGCACTGGGGGAGGGCCTTCCCAGCCCCAGCCCCTTTCCCCGCCTACCTTGGCTGCACTCCCCTGGCCCCCAAGTCCCCCCCCCGCAGCATGCAGGGAGGCCAGAGTTAATGCAAAACTTTACAGAGCAGCCTGTACCCCTGCAGCTAGGTGGGCATGGGCCTCTTACCCCAAGGAAAGTGTCAATGCCTGCAGACATGTCCTCCTCAGCTGCAGTGGGTAGAGATGTGTAGCGCAGCCACAGGTAGTCCTCCAGGTGATGGCGGAGGTTGCAGGGCAGTGTGGGCTTGCCCGTTACCCCATCAAAGATCAGGGTCCCCTGCTGGATACACACCAAGCCCAGCAGCAGCAGCATGGTATACTAGGTTGGGCACCCCTCAGTCCATGCAAACAGCTCCTCACGCTGCCCATTTACTTGCCCAGATGTCAAGGGCCTATATTCATGGCTCTGACCTCCCCTATACCCTGCCCCATGCCTCACAGATGGCATCCATGGCCTAACACCCAGCCTCAGCTTGTTTGGTCTAACACCCGGCCTATAAGCCCATGCCCTAGCACTGGGACCTGCACTCCAATGACTCACATTGGGACTCTCACTCCCGTGCCCTCACATTGGAGCTTGCAATCTCTGTGCCCTCACACTGGGCTCTCATTCAATCAATTGCTCAGGACTCCCAGCTCCTCCCTATTCCTCAGGCTCCTAGCCTAGCTTGGGACCCTCCTGGTCCCCTCATGCCCCCACACTGGGGCTTCAATCCCCTGCCCCATAATGGGCTGAGGTGCTTCACACTCATCTCCCTCGTGGTTCAGGGCTCCACCCCCTGGAGCCTCACATCCGGCTCCTAAATGCGACCCAGTACTTACAGTGAGTCTGGATGCTGCCTCAGTAGTCACTGTGAGCCTGTGCTCTTGCTTTGACTTTGGGGTGTGCTCCCTTAGCCTGTCCCCTTCACGGGGTCACCTGTAAAGCAGCAAGGCCTAAAGCTTTCTGGCACCCCATACTCTCCCTTCATTGGGGAGGCATAGGTGTGGCACTTCCTGGAAGCTGCCCCGCCACCGGCAGTCCCACCACACTATCCAGGCCCAGCAGGGTGTAGTTTTAGGTTATGCTCCAGGACCAGGAGCCTCCACCTTCCCCATAGCTCCTTCCCTGTACCTCCAAGGTGTTGTGAGCAACAGCTCCAGCTGGGTGATGTTCTCCCCTTGGCTGCTAGCAGCAAACTGTTGGCTTCAATGCTCAGAGCCCTGTTCTTATAGGGAACAGCCACCTGCAGGTTGATTTGCTGTCTGCTCATACAAAATTATCATGCTCAAGTTCATATTTTCCACTTGCCACTGACTAATGCTTATCCAAAGAGAAACTATTTTCGGAGCAGTAGTTGTATGGCACAAGAGAGGCATCCAGTGGGTGCCTCTGGTATTAAGAAAAGTCTGTATGGCCCATGGATATTTATGAGATTACAGGCATGTCTTTGAATAGGAAAACTAAGTACAGTAGAGGCACCAAACTCCTGCCACCATGAAAGTGCATTTATGCTTGCATTAGATATTTGAACAATATCTTACTAGTACAGTTCGACTAGACCACTGTTCCCAGTCTGTATCATGCACAGCAGCAGTGCCACAAGCCCACCTCAACTGTATCGCATTCTGTTTTAGGCAAGAACAGGAACTAAACATGAAATGAAATTAAAAAGTAAAATGTTTGGGGGATTTTCAGATTTTTTTTTATGTACATGTTTTTCCTGATTGAAATGATCTTGTGAATTCAACACACACTTGCAAAATGTGTTAGTAGATCTGAATCTACACTTTTTGGTGGATAAAAAAGTATGATCTGTACTTTTTTGGCCAGCTGTAATTCATCCCAGAGAGAGAAAGTGAGAAAGAGATTAATTCTTAGATGAGTCTGGAATTACTCCTTTTGAAGAATCTCACTGCAGTATGGTTCCTGATAATTCTGTCCAGTGCCAGCCCATGTGTAAGCCACAATCTACACCTTTATATTGCTTTTTTTCATTTTAATTAAAGCAAACACTCTGTGGAAATGAAAGTGAGAAAAAGGCCTCATCTTCAAAGACCGTAAAGGTGTCAATGTAGCTGCCTCAAACAGGGCCAGAAAAATACACTGAAGCTTTCTTTTAATTAAAGTGTCCATGGTGCATAGTTAAGAGTAAGGTGTTGGCAATTCTACATTAAATATTATATGGAGATTCACCCAGGGTCTGGAGAGAAGAATGGACACTATTTTTAGAGGCAGATATATGGGATATGATTTTTGTGTTTTGCAAATGACTTTTAATCAGCTCCGTTTTGAACATCTCATTTTTTTTGGAAGTAGGTGGAGAGAAATAAAGTTTTAGGTTTCCCCTACTTGTTCCAACCTAGATTTGGGCATCAGTGAGAAACTGTTATTTCTATACTTTTGGGCAAACTTCATGGCAGCGTGAGTTGGCATCACTTCACAAAAAATAGTGGTGTAGCATTAACTTAACTTGCTAGGGACCTGCACAACTCATAAAGCTATTGGAACATCATAGTCAAAATGCAGTCCATGTAAAGGCTTTTCTAGGCATGTTTCATCTGCTAGAATTTCACCCTCCTTTTCTAATCTCCAAGTCCTTCCCTTTTGTTATTGGGATGAGTCGGATGAAAACAGTGTGGCATGGGTTAATTAACCATGGCTGGACTAATCACTATGTCCTGACTTGAAGGAAAAGGTGAGCAGAAATGCAACCACACCTTAAACACTGAGTTTCAAATTAGAAATTTTAGAAAACAGCTTAAATTTCTGCTCTGATTCTTTCCAGCCCTCCCAAATTCTTCTTTGGCCTCTTTCTTCCCTACCTAGGCTCCTGAACAGCAACCTTCAATACTTCAGCAGTTTCTTTATCCTCCATGTAATTGCCAGTGCCCTTCATGATTTGTTTGAGAAGATGGCAAGTGACTCAGGCATGGTATTGCTCCTGGTGGACTCTGGTTGGGGTAGTAATAACCAGACCAACTCTTAGAGTATCACTGTTCTCTAATGTGCAAGGCCATATGCAGTTATGCTGTCAGTGATTCTCAACCAAGATGTTGCAAGATCTTTTGAGGGGTGCCTTGATGTCTGGCACCTGTAAGAGGAGGCAAGCTCTGACTCCTGCAGATGTTGGGCACCCTGCATTTGCCTTAGCATCCTAGCAACACTCCCTTCAACCCATCCTACCAGCTCTGGGAGCATGGGAGGATCAGGGAAACAAGCTGTGCTGAAAAGCACAACTCCTATGTTGACCACCTCCATATTTTAAGCAGCAGCATCTGTGGAAGGGGGGCAAAGGGGACCAAACTTTTTCAGCCTGGATCCTTCCCCCACTTGGCCTATGCTCCTGGAGCTGGTGGGAGGGGCTGAGAAGAATGACCCAGCATTCAGGTCCTTGGAAGAGCAGCCACAGTAGCAGGAGCTGTGTTCAGCCCCTTGGGTACAGACTGGGGGTGGGGAAGGGGGCATGGAAGGGTCCTGTCCCTGCCACCCTCATGTGGCACTAGCCTCTATACCAGAGGCCACTGTTATCCCTTTCTGCTTAATGCAGGGACAAGCTCCCCAGCCTGCCCTGCACTCCAGGCACTGTGAGCCACTCTCTGCCATGTTCTCAGAAGTGCCCTGCCCATCCTGCCACCCTGTGAGGTCCTTTTAAGGGTGCATCAAGCTCTGAGAAAGTAAACACTATAAGAAATACATTAGTCATAAAATTGGGTGGCACTAAATTCTGAAAAGTTATTAAGGGATGCCTTGAGATTTAACAGACTTTTTTTCCATGTCCAATTAACACTGCAATGAATACACTTCCTCTTCTTTTTCTTCTTCCACTTTTTATCTTTTTTCAAGTCACTTGCACAGTTGGTGTCCATTGTGTTGGTTTGTTGATGATCTTTGTTCCAAACGTTGTCTAAAGTGGCAATGAGTTGCTGGTGATCAAAGGAACCCAAGATAGGCAAGGAGAAACCAGATGTCTTGATGAGGTCAGAGGGACATCTGCCCACCTAATTTAGCTTCAGGACTTGTGTACGGGATGGATTTATCCATGTGACAGTTCCAAAGAACATGAGTTGTTGACATCTGATCAGTGTCCTCAAGTCCTGATATGCTTGACATCTTAACATCATATCGCTTCGTACTAAGAAAATGCAGTGGCAGCCTATGTTGTCATGCCTCCAGGCTCTGTAAGTCACTTGTCAGTAGCATCCACATCACAGATCTGTAGAACAACATGAGTAGGACAAGGGATCATGGATCCTGATTTTTCCCACCAATTCTCAACTTGCAATGTCTCCATACCTTCTAACATTACAGATATGGCTAGAGCAATCCTTCATAGCACATTATTCAGCCAAGTGGGGGCCAACCTTTGTGGTAGGTATGCCACAAAGCAAGCCCCACACTCCCCATGAGGGCCACTTCAGTCCACTTCCTGTGCACAATCACCTGCTCTACTTTCTTCCCCCTTTCTACTCTTGTACTCTGCTTTCTGTTCCCTGCTCTATCTGCCCCCATATTTCATGCTCCCCCTCTGATCTGTTGTGTGCCACACACAGAGGCTGCCTATGCCACTTGCAGCACGTGCGCCAGTTTGACAATCCCTGCTTCAGATACCTGTCCAAGGAACACTGCTTGGAGCTGAGATAAAACATTCTTCAACTCTTTCAGCATAATGACAATACATTTGGATGTTCTGTATGGTTAGGGACAGACATTACACATAAACCAATTTAAGTGATCAGAAACTGGTTTAAACCTGTAACAGAACAGATATAAACCAGCTTAAAAATGGCTGAAACTGGTTTGAGATAAACCTGGTTGAATGTAGTATCAGACTTAACTGATTTGGCTCAAACCAGTTTATGCAATGTCTGTCTCACACCCCTTGCTGGTTTAAGATAAACCAGATACCCCCAGCATCCCAGCATGCTCTCTGGGCTAGGCAGGGCTCTACTCCACAGCAGGGCTGGCACCTCCCCTCTGCTCCCTGGCTGGAGTACTGGCAGAAACTTTCAGGCACAGCAGGGTCTACCTGGTTTTCCCCTGCCCTCCCTCCTCCTGCTCAAGCAGGAAATCCCCCCCTCCCTCCCAGAGGAGGAACCCCAGCCCCACGGATCCTAGGCATGTGATATGCTAGCAAAAGCTAGCATTAGCAGGGACCCTTCTGCCAATCAGCAGTGGGGGGCGGGGAGGGGGCAGCGCACAGGGGAAACTGTAGGATTAAAGGAGCTGCCACACAGCATACTTCCCACACAGTTTTCACTAATAATATAGTGCTGGGCCCCTAACATATTAGTAAAGTTTCTAGTTTCTTTTGAACTTGAAAAAAATGTTTTCCATTTTATATGGGATGATGTATAACCTATGTTAAAAATCCTAGATCTGCCCACGAGGAGTGCCAGTTAGTTATAGAGGCTAGGGACAGACATTCAAAAAGCCTGAGCCTGAATTGATTTAATCTTTGCAGGTTAGTCTAACCTGGCTAGGCTGAATCGGTTTGTACCCAGACAGACATCCTCTCTGGACTGAGGAAATTCATGCCTGCAGTGGCTGGGGCCAGAAGCTGGGGGGCACTAAAGCAGCCCTCCCTTCCCTTGCACAATGCTGAGCTGAGGGGGGGTGTGGCCAGGCCCCGGCAGGACGCTTTGATTAGGGAGCTCTGCCTGCACCATCCAGGGCTTTTTCCTGCTGGCTGTTCAAGGGGCAGGAGTGTTGCCAGCCCCCAGCCCCCTGCCCCCTACTGACACTCGGAGATACAGTGCATGCATCTGTTGATGATACGGAGCTTTTCAATCTCCCTCCCTCCTTCTTTATACTGTCTGCAGCAAACTGACAGTGAGCAAGCCAGTTGGGAGCTGATAATAGTGTTTATCACCCCATCAGCAAAACAATAGCCTCTCTTCATTAGTTCAAACTCTTCTTAAACAGCTTACCAGCTGACCTGTTGATTAACTCCAAACAGCCCTAAGCCGTCACTGTCCTGTCTGCCTGTCCCAGTGAAATTAGAGACACACACAGATACCTCTCAGCATTAGCTAGCATACCACATGCCTAGCATCTGTGGGGCTGAGGTCCATGCTGTGGGAGATTGGAAGGAGGGAGAGAGGAATTCCTGCTTGAGCAGTGAGGAGGGGTAGGGCAGGGGAAAACCAGGCAGACCCTCCTGTGCCTGCAGTCTCTGCCAGAGCTCCAGCCAGGGAGCAGGAGGGAGGGGCCAGCTCTGCTATGGAGCAGAGAACCCCGCTCAGCTCAGACAGCATGCTGGGATGCTGGGGGAGTCTGGTTTATCCTAAACCAGCAAGGGGTCTAGGACAGACATTGCATAAACTGGTTTGAGCCAAATCACTTAAGTCTGATTCAACCAGGTTTATCTCAAACTGGTTTCAGCCATTTTTAAACTGGTTTATGTGCACTGAACATCTGTTCTGTTACAGGTTAAACCAGTTTCTGATCACTTAAACTGGTTTATGTGTAATGTCTGTCCCTAGCCAGAGCGGCACCAGATGCAAAGGTCAAATGCATTGGCTACAGAATATTAAGGGCCTAGAAGTCCAGGCCCTTAAGTTGGGGTTTGGCTGCTCAGTGTTTCACATCCTGCAGCATCTGTATCTGTTTGCTTTCAAGAAGGGCTCCTGCCTAGTTCTCTGCTCCTGCTTATTCTGTTTGGGTGTCCTGGATTCCCTGGCTTCTGGCTTCTGGTGCTGCCTAACAACAGAGATGGTGTCTTATTTATTGATTTGGATTTGATCTTGGACTCTTTGCTTCTGACCCTTTTGTGCAGCTTCAGCTCTGAGTCTGGATCCTCCTCTGGTTCAAGTACTTGTCTATACCTGTGTTCCTCAAGATTGCCTATGATCTAATCCTTATTGTCCCGTTGCAGTCCACGATTCTTATTGTCCCATCAGCCCATTGCCATGATTCCTGGCAGGCAGTACCTGTTCTGAGATCTTGCTCACAAGACAACAGAATAATGGTGGGACAAGAAGCCTTGCTGGAATGAGTTGTGATATTGAACCATTGTGACAGTCTTCTGCCTCATGCACTGTCATCAACGTTGTGTACTAAATTTAGCAGAATACTCATGACACTGATGTGACTCATAACTTTCCATAAAGAATTTCTGTCTATAGAATCAGATGGTATTTTATATTTAACAGGGTGGGATGGCCTATGAAAAGGGAATGCATAGGCATATCATTGCCCTGGACCCAAGTGATTAACCAATATTTTGGGCCTTGTAAGTAATTACTGGTTGGAAGAAACTGATAATAGTCAGATATGCTTTTTTGGTTCAGTCCTGCTTATTTACAGAAAATGTAAGTACATCATTTTCCTGGTTCCCTGCACCTCGTAGGGACACCAACAAGCAGCTTCTTCACTTGTAGTTTCTAAGTTTGCTTCTCCATCCAGTTCTGTGTCCTATGTTGCTCTGCCTTTGCTGCCTCTTATGGCTGTGTTCATAGCTTTCCCCTGCTTCTCCTACCTTGCTTTTTGCTCACTTTCTCTTTTCTTTTTGATTTCTGTTAGCTTCACCCTGATGTATCAAGTAGAGCCTGGCCCTTGCATCTTCAGTCAGTCTCCTGGAAAGCTTCCCAGCCATCCTGGTTTAGCTGATGATTTCCTTTGCATACGTCTGGTTCCATTGCTTCCAATTCTTATCTTTCATTAGGAGCTTAATGCAGTCTCAATAAAGGGCAGATAGCAAACTCAACAGCTTTAATGAGGTCTGAGGTTGCCTATAGAGCCAAGGCATGTTTCATGGCAGGTATTATCATCTTCCAGCTTAACAATACAGGAGACCCTTGCCATTTGCGGGGGATACATTCTAGAGATTCCCTTGAATAGGGAAATCCATTAATACCTGTACTGAATCATCTGTGTCCATGAATGGCGTGTGCCTCTGGCAGCTGGGGGGGCACAGCTGCGTTGGCGGTGGTGGGAGCATGGTGCCAGTGGTGGGAGCCTGGCAGTGGCAAGCCCGGAGCTCCCACAGATGATGCCGGCGCTGTAACGAAGTGTATCACATTGCGTGGGGAGACAGAGTGGGTTGGTGCGGTGCACCACGAATCGCAAATCCACAAATAGTGAGGGTTTCCTGTATAACTTTTCTTGCAAAGTCCAACATTGAGTGGCCGCTGACATCTGGAGTAGGGAAGTAGGAAGGTAGGTAGGGCTCCTTCGATTCCCCCCACAAATCTACAGTGTTTCACATTTACACCTTTGTGAAAGAGAGGAGAATAAGGCAAAACAAATGCAACATCCACAAGCTAGAATAAGGTGACATAGTATGGTAGTGCCCCAGACCTTTATTTATGGACTACTAGCATGTTTATGGGTTTGCTCTGCACCATGACTTCCCTCACAAATTTAGGTTTGCCTTCCAGAAAAGTTGTACCTTCACCTTTGCAGCCATATTGTTAAAAGATTAACTGTCCATCAAATGACTTAGCAGGTGCCTGATGTTTCACTTGTCCTCGAACTTGTAAGCACATTAGGAGTGAGTTCATTAAAGTGATGACAAGGACACTTGTTTCAGCAATGAGCCTTTGTAACAGGGCGCCATCCCTCGGGTTGTCAACAAGCTACTGCCCTGCATTTCTGTCCCTTTTGTAGTACAACAGGAATTGAAACAAACTGGTGTGGTTTTATAGATCAGTGCCATTTGCAGTTTGGATCTAGGTCTGTTTTCCTAAATCTTTACACTTTTTTGAGAAGGTAATAGATAATGTTGATATGTATTATGTCACTTAAAATGTACAGCAAACACAAGGGTTGGTATTTATATTGAATTTAAAAGATAAAACGACAGCACGTCAGCTATGTATTACTCTTTGCCAGGGAAAATTTGACAACCTATAAAAATGGCTAAGAGGGTGAGTATGTCTTGTATAAATTCCCTTTTTGGCTGACTGGTAAAAGGCACAAGCATTAGGGAACATGATGTCAATCTTATTAATATTTCAGTTATTCTTTTTTGTCTTGAAAGGCCCTCAGGCCCCATGCTATGCACAACAAATAAATACTTGAAATACCATATTGCTTCAAAGAACATTTTTGCAGATCAATATGTGCTACTTTTAACCATATGAAATGTCACTAATAACAGGCATGTAATGTAGAATAAGCAATAGCTGAAACAAGAAACCAAATGATCTGAAGAGACCATCAAGAAAGTCAGAGATTTGATTTTTTTTCTTTTCTTTTCTTCAAGAAAATTCCCCAGGGCTGAGTGAAAACTGGCTTTGATTGGATTGTGAACTCTTTTGAGATGGAAAGAAAACCTGAGGGGTTTTAAATAGCTTGAAATTATTCTGGTTGCTTTTTCTTCTACAGAACAACATTCAGGCAGTACAGTATTAACTTTGCTAAATACAACCTACGTTGTTTTCAGCTATGTCAAAAACAAGACTGAAGAGAAACTTGCAGTGTGGTGATGAACTTGATTCTATTCTCAACACATAAGTAACACCATGAGGGCAGTAAATATTGACTGTTTAGCAATGTGGAATATAAAAGGTCATGGATGAGGGCAGGGGTGGTCAATTTACAGCACCTGTGGCACAAGCAGGCTTTGTGTGCCATGTGGCAGGCAACACTGCAGCAGATAGGGCAGAAAGGAGAGCAGCAGATCAAGTAGGGCAGGAAGCACATGGCAAGGTGCAGAAAGAGGAGCAGCAGATTGGGCAGGGCTAGGGTATTAGAATGGTAGTTTGGGGGTGGGGCTAATTTGTGGAACACCTGCCAAAAATGTTGGCCCTTACTGGATTAGAGGAAAGCTTTTAAAACAGACTGAATCGATTCAGCCTTGGGCTTTTTGGGTGCCTGTACTTAGCCACCGTCATGCCTCCTGCTATGGACATGTGGCATGGCAGCAGACAGGATTGTGTGGATTGCACATTTAATTCCATTGCACTTTTATCTGAATATTTAGAGAAGCCCCTGGAACCATGTTCTCTTTCTCTCAGATGCTTTAGCTTTGTGGTAACAAATGCTTCTCCAGCTCTGAGAGCTGTCTTAAATTTCCTTGAAATAATGGTAAATGCAAAGGCAAAAGCTGTCGCTGTCTTTCTTCCTCTCCCCCCACCCTCCCTCCATCCCCCTGCTCAAATATGGAGATTTATTCTGTTACCTAGGTACAGCCTATTGAAAATGTAGATGTAAAATTGCCATGCCCTCTATTGCATTTTGACATCCAGTCGGTGCATAGAATCAGGATGATGTCCTCTTATGGTTCAGATGTGGGGAGTAGTTCCACAGAGATGGCTGACCCCTTTCGTTCTGTGTAAGAAGGAAACAAATTCTTCAAATTCTAAGTTTAAAAATTCCTTTCTGCAGTGATTAATTCAAGAAATCTCTCAGAGCACTGGAATGAAAGGAAATAATATTGAATCCAAAGATGCTAATTGTTAGGGATATTGAAAAATGTAAAGATTTGTATGTTAAATTATCCTTTGTTTTGGAGGTAATACCAGAGGGATCAGAGAAGGGAAACAGATCCACTCTGGTGTTTAATTTGGCTTTTAGGATGGCTTTTAAAAATACATTGCTAGTTTCTCTGCTGGATTGCCTTTTCACTTGTATTTTAATTGTGTTTTCCAAATAGCAGACCCCACATCTTCAAGAAAAATGTCCTTCAGCTTCCAACAGATAAAGAAACAAAACTTCATAGTATACATTAATCTCACTCCATCATAGCCTACAAAATCTTAATTGCAGTAACATCAGATATGCAACTCTGATTTATTCACAGATTAAGTTGGTAGTGTGTTTCCTTTTAGAGGTATTACATTGTGCTGGGCACTAATGTGTTATGCATAGGTTCTGTAACATCTATTTAATGAATTATATCAAATATTTAATTAAAAAAGAATTTTGAACATAATTTTTTATTGTGGTACAGGATGTAAGTGCATAGCTGATCCACTTCTGATGACACAATGAGTTCCTGAATTCACTAAAAAAATTAGAGGAAAATTAGCTATATGCAAGGTTATGGAGCAGCAGATTGGGCAGGGCTTACCCTATCAGCACACATTATAACTAGATGTGATTGCCTACTGCATTAGTGAAATAATACTAAGAGTTCATATTCAAGCAACTAAGAATGTAATTGGTCTCTTATGTGTGTTAGTATAATAAATTTAGCATACTGTGTATAGAAAAGAACATGTCAGACATAACCATGATCTCTAGAGAAAAAACTTTTACCCAAGAAAGAAAGGTGATCTATTATACAGTCTGAAGGTGTTGAGCTTCTCTGGTCTTTGCAGTGAGATGCATGTCTTTTGGTAGGAAGAAAGGTACAAAGCTGTGCATAAGACCAATTTATCAAATCTTTATGAATATGGCCAAAAATATGGGTTGGTAAAATTTGAAGTTGGCTGAATTTCATGAATTTGCAGGTGCTATGTTTACTCGACTAATTTGGCAAAAGACCTTGACCAGAGGGTAAGGACTAATGATCAATACAAGCTTTACTGCCTCCCTGGAGTTCCCTTCATTTGGGTTTTTTCAGGCTGAATAAAGGGCACTGTTGAATCCCCTTTTCAACTAATTACACTGTCTCATTCCATTGGTATTGGATAACCTGATATATTTTTATATAGGCCTAAATGACTAGCAACCAGTTGAAAAATATGCCTGTTGCATCATCTGAATCTACTCATATCTGTCACCTGTCATTGAATTGGTAATTAATTGTCTTAGAAACACTTTCAAGTAAGGCTGGAGCTACCAGCTTGGGGTTGCCATGATGCACAATAAATAATCATTCTGTTTCATAACTAATGTATCTGAGGCACTTGATTTCTAAGTTGTTGAATATAGTCCAGCAATATCTGTTTGAGATAGTAGTAACCGAACAGGTTCCTGTTCTAACTAATGACATTACCTGATACCTCTCTTCCAGGTTTGCCAGTGGCACTTCCAGGTTTTGCCACCAGTTCTTTGACCGGTGATGGTGATCGGCTGCTGGGCCACCCCCTCCTCTCACCCTCATCGGTGATCGGCCACCGGTGCCCCCCCAGTATCAGGAGGCATCAGTCACCCATGTCACTGAGTAATTTCTGCATTAAGTCCATAAGATTTCCAGTTCTGTCTTAAAGATTTCAGTGATGAGGAATTTCTAGGTAGGTTATTCAAGTGGTTGGTCACCCTCATGTTTGAAACTGTCACCATTAGATCTTATTATACATGTTGCTAAATAAAAACTATCAGCAGACAGTTTCCTTCTCCTACAAGTACTTATATGCTTTATCTTCACTTGGCTAAACAATACATTCCTATAATGTGTCTTGTTTTGGAACTTTGACTAATTTTCTAGCTGTCTTTTGAATCCTTTCCAACTTTTTAAACACTCTTTTGATAGTGTGAACACCAGAACTGAACACAGTTTTCCAGTAATGGTCTCAGGAGTGCCTGTCATAGGGCCAAAGGGCCAAGAGCATGCTAAGATATGCCCCTGTAGCATAAGGGCAAGTGCCATCAAAAAGATAACAACCTGGAAAATATCAGTACTTTGGAAAGATGTGGTTACCTACTCTATATACTAGGTGCGAGTAGTTCTACATTGTTAATATGTTGCTGAAGTGATTTTTTTTTTGGCAGAAAACCATGATCAGTGTGGCAGAAGATGCATGTAGATGTGAACTCCTGACCTGTTATGCAACAGGGCCAGAATTACTGGGCCAGTGTTAGAGCAAAGCTGAATTGTCTGAACGGAATGATATTTCTTTGCTAAATTTCCCAACAGGCAGCGAGATCCTTGTTGAATCAGTTGTATGCTACCACTTCTAATACTAATATGCTGCAATATTGTGTGATCTCAATTAAGTTATCACATGAAAATTGCCCCTCAGGGAAGGGGGACCCCTAGCATGCTGTATTACAAAGGTAATGCCACCCTGCTAATTTCCTTGTCATATGCATGCAAAGTTCACAGTCATTATCTTAGCTATTGCGTTACACTCAGAACTAATTTTCAGCTGCTTATTTACCATGATCTCAAAGGTTTTTTAAGTGTCCCTGAATACTCTCTCCCACCTTGCATTGATGATTTAGGTTCTTAGTTTCTTGTTTGTGTAATTTTTCCTTTGGCTGTATTAAAATGCATGTTGTTCAAATGAGCCCACTTTCCCAAGCAATCCAGATTGATCCCTATAACAGACCGTGTTATATTCCTTGCCACCCCTCCAATCTTTGCCCCACAGAAATTTTTCAGAAAATTTCTAGTGTCATTGAACAGTATTGAATGGAGGCACGGATGCTAGTAGGGCCTGACTAGAAATATCTCAACTGGATTATGATGCCTGATTTACAATTACTTTTGTAGAATGAGAAGTAGATGAAGACAAGAATGGATTTCAGAGGGTGCCTAGAAGCTTGTGGGAGAAATGAGCAAGCATATCATGAAGTGATTGATGAACAGTAGTTGGAATGGAGAAGGCAAGATTCTTTGGGTGATCTTGTAGACTCAATCAAGTTTTAGACTGAAGAGGAGTTCTGAAGAAGCTCATGTAGCTTTTCTTTGCTAAGAAAGATTGCCACTTGCTAATATCTAAATAAAACAAATTGAATTCAACATCAAATTATAATTGACTCAGAAAAAGGTCTAAGCTGTCTGTTATGGCATTTGTTCTCTTTTTAATGCTTCCAAGTAATGCATTTCTTGAGGAAGCTGCTCTTTACACTCCCTCTTGTACACTTCTGTTTCATGCATATTCCATTTATGACCTCAACATCTGCTCAAAGTTATTTTGTTTTTGCATATTTGGCATTGCTGAGCTGGCTTCTTAGCTGGTGTAGAAGACTAATTCCATTGACTTCACTGCGCCTACAGTAGCCAAGTATCTGCTCCATTGTTTTATTCGTTATATGGTTATAACCAAACTTCCTCCATTGAAATCCATTGAAAAAGCAGCTATGTCTACAATGGTACTGCACATATTAATTAGAACAAATTTAGGAATATAATTTTACTTACTTGTTTATTCAGAAATATGTAGATGACTGGATTATAGACAGTACTACTCTTGGCAAGGACTGATGGGATAATACTGACTGATGGGGTAATTAGGCCAGGTTTTCCAAAAGTAGCTACCAGGGCCATTATCCCATATGGCAGCCAGCAAAGAAGGAAGCAAATCACCATCACGACTACCATGATCAAGACACGTTGCTCCCTTTTGTGGCTCATCCTTTAAGCTATGCCATTCATCTGCAATAAAGAAGACGCATATGTGAAAGCAAGATTAACAAAACCCTCAGCTAGCCATGCAGTGCACAAAAGCATTTACTAGTTGGCATGTCTATACTAGTAGAAAGAAAGAGGAGTGCCCCCTGAGCCTAGTATCCCTGAGGAGCAGCTGTTCTGTAATTCAAACTTTTCTCTGAGCACTAGGCTGAATGAAGTCCTTGCAGGTCTGCTACTCCTCCCTGTTGAATACAGAGTGTGATCTCACCCTTTGGCGACTGAGACCCTTGCCTACCTCATCTCCTTGACAATATACTGCTGTTACTTCAATAGAGAAGGGAAATGTATTTCCTGCTCTTCTGTGTAACACCAGGAAATGCAGTTTCTCACTGAGATGAGGACTGTTTTCAACTACTGACATTCATTCAGGCCAGTAAAGTGGTTTCAGTTTCTGATGACACTGCTGGGTAATGCACATACTTCAATAAAATATTGTTCACTCTTCCTAATGAATATTATATGCCTCAGGACTGTGGCCCAGGCTCTCAAAATATTTTCAAAGCAACGAGAATTAGATTCCTAAATACACTTGGAAACCTTGACCTACATGGTTCAGTCATTCAGTTTTCAGCTGATTGATATAAAGAGTACTCAGTCATGGGCAACTGAGGTTGAAGATTATACAAATGTATTCTTCTTTGGCAATCCCTTCCAGTCAAGGAATATTGTCTTCCATGATTTTCTTACCTTTGTGTCTGAAGATGGCTGATGAGGCCTATCCGGGATCAACAGATTCTGCTGCAGCTTGGACATGTGTTTCCATGTGGGGTGGGTGGCTCTGGTTGATTTGGTCCATGACATGCTGTTTCTGCCACTCCAATTTTTTCATCTCCTATTTTTGTTGTGAGGTTTCAAAGTACTGAGATTTCTGCAGCAAACTCTTCCTCCATTTGGGGCGGTACTGGTTGATATTCTCCTGTGAGTTGATATCAATGTTGAATTTTTTTAAGCTGGCCTTGAGGACATCCCTGAAGTGCTTTCTATGCACCCCTCTTAAGCAAGCACCTTGGCTGAGCCAGGAGACTAAAACTTGCTTCAGGAGTCTGGAGTCAGACATCCGGATGACATGGCCAGCCCAATGAAGTTGATGTTGGATGATCATCACCTTAATATTCATGGTGTTTGCTTCCAGAAGGATGCTAATGTTGGTGTGTCTATCTTCTCACTAGATTCAGAGGATCTTCTGCAGGCAACATTGATGATACTTCTAAAACAACTTGATGTGTCACCTGTATATTGTTCATGTCTCAGCTCTGTACAGCAAGGTGGAGATTGTGGCTGCTTGATAAATCATGAGCTTTGTTTCAGATCTCATGTCACAATCTTCGAACACCTGTTTCTTCAGGTGCAGAAAGGCTGCACTTGCACATCTGAGATGTGATGTTTCTTTGTCAATGTCAGCCTTCTGTGAGAGGGAGCATCCTCTAGAGTCTCACTGTGGATTGGGATTACTGCAGCTGGGGACTGTTCATTAGGAGTTTGTTGATGGAGGGCCTTAGTCTTCTGAATGTTAAGTATCAGTCCCATTTTCTTGTAAACCTTGGTAGAGATGTCACTGATTGCCTGAAGGTCTGCTTCAGAGTGAGTACACACTACATCAGCATCTGCATACTGGATCTCAATGACTGAGGTTGGGGTGGTCTTGGTTTTGGCTCGGAGTTGGCTGAGGTTAAACAGTTTACCATCCATTTGGTAATTTAGCTCCATTCCAGCTGGAAGTTTGTTTGTGGCCAGGGCAAAGTTACTTCTTGTAAAGGACTGTGCAGTAATGTAAGTTAAAGTGGCATACTTAATTTTGTACCAGTTTGCTCCCCTATCCAGTTTAATCTTGGGGTAGGCATTTGCTTTCTGTCACAAAGTGCTGTAATAGTGTCTACTGCAGAGTCAAGTGGGGCAAGTTGATTGTATGTCCATTTTGTACTAAGGGGTAAACTTATTATGCAGTGAAATATGTGGTAAAGTACCTAACACGGTGTGTGTGTGTGTGTGTGTGTGTGTGTGTGTGTGTGTGTGTGTGTGTGTGTGTGTGTGCGCTCTCAGATAAATGTTCCATCTCTGTGAAAGCTACCTTATGATTGTTGAATTAAATGAAGACCCTTGATCAGAACCCTGGGTGAACCATGAATTTAGGGAGCAGTGTCAATTTAAGTCATTTCAAGATCTGGCCTCATCCATTTCTCTTTTAAAATGAATTCTATTAGTAACTTTCCTTTATTTTCCTCCTTTTATTTTTAAGCGATCACTTTATTGGCAAGTTAAACACATAATTTGTATGAAAGCTGTTTGGTTTATGCTGATTAAGACTATGTGATGCAAGGGGTTAAGGATTCCCTTCCCCTTATTATCTTAAAAATGTACAAATGTTTCTCAATTTCAGGACATGCATCAGCCTTTTTCCCAAAGTGCAATAGACTATTGAGCTGAGAATTAGATTAGTATTGCTAATAAATGGCAAAGAACTGTGGCAGCTTGTTGGCTGTATAGTGCTCATTAACTCAAATTAGAGTGAGTAACACCGGTGGTGATTTTAATTGCTAGGATTTACAGTGTGTCTAATACTTTAGTAACTGTATTGATTAGAACATAATAAGGAGTTTGCTAAATTTGACTGAAGGATGTCAGACTTTCTCTTGAGTCCATGTTCATATGATAGAACAAGTGAATCTTTATAACTGTTTACTATATGCAAGATTGAAAGCTTCATTTTAGCTCAGCTTTATCCCCTATCCTTTTCTGTGTTGAAAAATTACCAAATAATAACTGTGCTAAATTCAACATGTACATTCTTCTTTAACTGTCCCTGAGCAGTTAAGCATGAAGTAACAAAAAGATGTACATGTCCAGTCAGCTAGACCTTACGAGGCTGGGAGAAGCCAGAGCAATTTTTTTTACATAACTCTGGGTACATTACTGGTGTTGTGGTCTGACCAGACTGGCTCAGAAGGGAATGGGAACCAAAGCTACAATCCCAGTAAAGAAATAGGCCCAATATTGAAATGCAGGTCAGAATGAAGTGCATTTCTTTGGGGGATGTCTTTACTTCTGTGACATGCCCTCTGCCAGGGTGCACTGCAAGACTTCTGATAAGTACGGTCAGTCTTGCCCAAGTAGCATGGGGCACGGCACATCTTGAGAAATCCCTATGGCCATTTTGTGTGTCCTCCCAAGAACTGTGACCAGCAGCTAATGGTGCTTCTTTGCCATTGGCCATGTACACATACCAGCGTTTTATCTGTTGTGGGTACACCAGCCATAGTGGACAAGGCAGCTCCACCACACTATCTACCCTAGCAGGGTGTAGTTTTAGGTCATTCCCCAGGACCAGGAACCTGCTCCATCCCTATAGTACCTACCCTTAACCACTAGGCATTCTGGGAGGAGCAGCTCTGGCTGGGCAATGTTATTCCAGCAGCATCCCTACAGCAACTGCTCAGCTCTGAAGGCCTGGATTTATATTGAGGCTGGTCAGCCCCATCCTGCAATCCAGGAGCTCTCCTGTGGTCATGTGACCACCTGGTTAGGCTGCATCACACCTGCCGGCTGCTCCACAGCCTGCTCAAACCTTTTAAAGTGGCAGGGAAAGTGGCAGGTAGCTTCTGGTGTCAGGGAGCATGTCCAGTTCTGGGTCCAGCACCCAGATGCTTCCTGCCAGGTTCCCAGCCTAAAAGCTACTTTTCAATGCGTGGCTGCTGGGCTGCACTCCAATCAGGGACCGGCCCTCTGGCCACAGAGCAGCAGTTGTGCCACTTGTGGCCTGGCCACCTGAGCTGCCACACTGAGGTAAGCTGCGCGGAGGCCTGCCACAGCTTCATTTCAATCAAATTTTTCAATGTGGCTGAAAAAATTACAATTCGGAAATCTCATTCCCCAGAAAATTCAAATTATTTAAACTTCTTGTTCCGTTTCAGAATGAAAACAAATATTGAAGAGTTTCATTTTTCTGCGGGACTGGAATTCTAACGTTTGCTCAGTCATGTCTTTATGGGAGGCCTGATGTTTAATTGCTGATAATGATAATCTAATTGAAGGAACTACCCTCGTTACACACGGAAACTAAAATGCTTTGTAAGCCAGAACGTGGCAATCCCCTGGTGGTTCCATGACCATGCCCTGCTCCACACCTAGGGCATCTTCTTGTCTCATCTGCCACGCCGTGATGGAAATATAAATGAATAGGGAGGCATCCCACAGGCCTTTGCATCACCTCAGGCCAACTGGACCCTGCTCTGTCTGTGCCCAGGCCCCTCACTGGGCTTCACTGGCCCTTAGGCCCCTTGCTGGGCCTCAGTTTGTAACTGTGCCACCGAAGGGCACCTCAAGCCTGCATGGCTCCAAATCCTCCCTTTTACCATGCCCCATGCTCCACAGGTGTTACTGCATTGTTGTTCCCTGTGTGGGGCTTTGGCCTCCTCAGCCTCTGACCCTCTAACCTCACTAGGCCTTCTAACCTGGGCCCACTGACTTGGACCTGGTTTTGAGGCTCTCTCTCTGTTTGTCCCTTCCATAATCAGGCCCCAGGCCCCTGTCATTCAGGCTTCTGACCTCTTTGTGGCTGCCCCTTCTCTGGTGCTGGGCCCCTGGCCCGTGCGGCTTCTCCTTGCACTTTCTGCCCACTATGGCCTCAATAAGTGCTTGAGCCTGCCCCTGGCAGGTGTTTGCACCTGGCCAGGTGTTTGCATGCCCCTTGGGCACTAATGGGACCTCCTGCTGCCCCTATAGCCCCAACCCTAAACTGCCAGTACAAATATTAAAGTAAACATAAACCCCCAGCCTACAACATAACAGCAACAGAGAAAGCAGCCCTCTGTCCCTTTAAGAAGGCAAACCTTCTTTACTCTTGGGCTGGCATACCTCCAAACCGAGCTCCTTGTGTGCTCCCTGAACCTTGGTGTTCTCACAGGCAGCAAAGCCATTAAACAAGTGTCCCTAGGAGCCTCTCCTGGG